CTGGAAGCGATATCACAATCAATTCATTTTCACTTAGTTTTCTATGAAACACACGGTTTTATCGAACATATCTGTTTCTATCTCAGAAGCTATGTTCCTCAATGAATATTTGTTGTGACATATAAAAACACTCGTCAAATTATGATGCAACAGCGCATTACCTAACGCTTAAAAGAACAGACGCAGCTGATGTTGAAACAAACTTTCTCTCTGCTTAAAAAAAACACGTAGTATGAAGCAGATTGCTTCAAGCAATCACTCGGCTAAACAACTTATCACGATAATGCGCATGAATCAATTTGTTCAATACTTTCTTTTCTTTCACACAAGATTCGTTTTACGAATTTAAGCGAGAGAAAAGAAAATCACTTGAAAAAAAGTGATGCAAGTAAAAAGAAAAGATATTAATAGAATTTCGTCTGCAGTTACAAGCGGCATCAGCGGGGAAAGAGCTTGACGCGTACGCAAAAGCGGCTAGTGTGGTTGAAGAGGCGCTGAACGGCGTACGTACAGTTTATGCATTCGGAGGGGAAAAAGTCGAAGTTGATCGATACGCAAAACTATTACAACCGGCCAAAGAGGCAGCCAAACGCAAAGGTTTATACTCAAGTATTAGCGATGGCGTAACACGATTTCTATTTTTTGTGAGCTGTGCATTATCATTCTGGTTTGGTGTGCAATGGGTGCTTCGTGATCGTGATAACATTGATAAACAATACACACCGGCTACACTTCTCATCGTAAGTCGCTTGGTTTCTAATTGATTTATTGTGATTATAGATTAATACAAAAAAATCGAATCATTTAGATATTTTTCAGTTTGGTCAGTGCGGCTGATAACTGTAGCGAAACGACACCGTTTTTACTAACATTTTCGGTGGCGCGTGGATCGGCGAAAAGTATTTTCGCTGTGATTGATCGCATGTCAACAATCGATCCAGTCAATAACAATGGAGAAAAATTTGGACCAAACGATGTCAACGGACACATCGAATTCCGAAATGTTTGCTTTAGCTATCCGTCTCGACCCGATGTTCAGGCATGTCTTGTTGTTATATTCATATTATGTCATTTGTTTTCGTTGTTGTTATTTTTAGTCTGATATCGATCGTTGTACTTTAGATTTTGCACGATTTCAACCTTGTAATTGTACCGGGTCAAACGGTTGCACTCGTCGGAAATTCAGGCAATGGAAAATCCACTTGTTTACATTTGTTAGAACGTTTTTACGATCCAATTAAAGGTGAAGTGCTTTTGGATGGTCAAAACTTGAAATCTTTAAACATTCATTCATTACGTTCGTGCATAGCGAATGTGGGTCAGGAGCCCGTTTTATTTTCAACAACAATTGGCGAGAATATTCGATATGGGAACCCAAATGCAACGGACGAACATATCATGGAAGCTGCTAAGAGTTCTGGCGCTCATGATTTTATATCGGAATTATCACAGGGTTACGATACACCAGTCGGAAGTAATGGTTCACAGCTTTCCGGTGGACAAAAACAACGCATAGCCATTGCACGTGCACTTGTACAGAACCCAAAGATTTTGCTTTTAGATGAAGCAACTTCCGCTCTTGACTATCAGTCAGAGAAATACATTCAAGAGACATTGGATCGCGCTAGCAAAGGCAGAACAACAATTGTAGTTTCACATCGACTATCAGCAATTAAGGGAGCCGATCGAATTTTATTCATTGAAAAGGGTAGAGTTGTCGAAGAGGGAACACATGAACAATTACTCGAATTGAAGGGCCGATACTATGATATGGTTAAGAGCGAAGATTTGGATAAGAAAATTTACCGCAAACGAAAATCAATCACAAATAATTCACACAACGAACAAACGGCCAACTACGAAGATTCACTTGACGAACGGAGCAATGATTCAGATGACTCAATCATTGAAGATGAAGTAAACAGCGAGGATAAACCAAAAGAAGACATTAAATACTGGCACAACTTTTTGCGCATATTACGACTAGCGAAACCAGAATGGAAGAATTTGACGACTGCCATTTGCTCAGCGTTTATTGTTGGATCCGCTTTTCCACTTTTTTCTGTCGTTTTTGCCGAAGTTTATGGAGTATGTGGTTGACGTTTTTACGATTTGAGAAACATTTTCTTTAATTTATGCAAATATTCTTATGTTGAGTCCAAGTGCTCATACTATAAATTTATATGACAGATAAAATTTTGAAACGTTTTTATTCTGCATTTGGCTGGGGTGCTTGGTCAGATTCTTTAAATTTATGCCAAATTGATGCAAATAGAACAAAATGTACCCATGATTTCTTCATTTTTTCAGTTTGATAACAGTTTCAATTTTAAAGTAGACTATAAATTTATTGGGTATACTATAAAATTTTTTTTTGCTCTTTTCTGTGTTTTTTCGAAAAATTTCAGTCCTATGGAATGAGTTAGGACAAATAATGACGATTTGCATCAAAAACCTCATTGATTTCATCAATTTTTTTTTGATTTTCTTGAGTTTTTTCGGTGAAAATTGATTTTTCTGAAATTGTTTTTTTTTCGACTTTCCTTTATTTTTTTTGCAAAATTTCAATCGAATGGAACATATTAGGGCCTAAAAAGAAGTTTTACATCAAATTTTTTCAATTTTTTCGACTTTTTGTAATTTTTTTGCAAAAATTTGGAGGTCCTATAATTTCGCAACTACTCGAAACAGAGCAATATTGTCTGAAGCAACTTTTTAGCAATCCTCAAGAGCTTTGCATGTCAACTACTAAAAGTGCTAAAAGACTTCTAAAAATGTACTAAAAAGTACTAAAATTTGCAAACCCTTTATATGGCTGTGGTCGACTCTGGGCGATGGATTACTGCACGAAATCATGTTAAACGTACAGTATTGGATCGTGATATACCATACTGAGCGTTACCTAGCTATTATATAA